GGATTAAAGGTGTGTGTCACCATGCCTGTCTCTGCTCCCCAGTGTGGCTTTGAACTCATGAAGATCCAGATGGATCTCTGCCTCCCAAATGCTTGGATTAAAGGCATGTGCTACCATTGCCTGACTTCTATGTTTAATACAGTGGCTGGCTTTTTCCTCTAATCTTCAGATACACTTTATTAGGGTGCACAATATTTGGGAATGCAGTACATCACCACATCTTACAAATATGTACTGGATAAAAAGAAAATCTCCTGTGTAGGAAGTTAATGTCCTTCTACTTTATCTTGTATATCTTGGTTTTTGTCACAAGAATATTTCCTATTTCATTTTGTCATATTTCAAAATTTTCATATTTAGTTGTCACAAGATTAGTTTCATTTCTACTGAATCAATCACATTGATTTTAATGACTGGATTTTTTTTTGGCTAAAGTTCTTTTAGAAAAATAAACTGCATTTCTTTAAAGTCATATTAGTACTCAAAAAATAACATAGAAAGAAATTTAGTATTTTTAACCAAGTGTCAAATGAGATTATACAACTATAACTTTAACTTGGAATTACATATTTAGTTCTTTTCTCTATAAAGGATTACTTTCCAAAGTGAGTATATTACATGTATGATGATTTTACAACATTCTGAAGATAATAAAATGGTTTTATATATCTGTGATTTTAAGTAATAATAACATATATATCATGGAAGATTCTTTTAGATTATATAATGATAGAAATAGTTTCTGATTGTTAAATGAATAATAATGATAATATAATGCATTATTTAAAATACAATATTATCATCAGCTAATTTTTAAGGTAATCTTAAAAGACACAGATTCTGTAGAGTTCTGTTACATGGACAAAAACATTGGTATTTTGGTGAATAAGTGAAAATATTTCTAAAATCTCTTAAGCATATTCATATTTGATAAAAATATTTGCAATTTTTATATCTTTTCATAAATATGTTTCTGTGAAATACTTTAAGAATCTATGTTGATAATGCATTTTACAGAAATTAAATTGCAAATTTAATTTAAAATGGCAAAATGTGGGTAACAGAAAAAATGTATGACACTTAGTCCAAATACATTTTTAAAGGAATTATATATGTACATATTTATTAATGTAAGTATTAATGTTAGTAATAAATTTGAATTATTAAATTGGTACAAAAATGTGCTAAAAGAATAACAAACAACAATAACACTATACATCTCACAAGAGGTCTTGGGTGACCACTTACGTCAATATTAAAACTAGCTTTTCATGGAATCTTTTTATAAAGATGGACAAAAAGGATGTCAGCTGTGAGAGGATCGTATCTCCTGTATATGAGAGGAAAGCCGCAATAAGAAAACTTCAAGAGTATGGCTGCCTAAATAAGACCTGCATAATGACAACATCATTTCACATCATAACATGGATTGTGTGAATCTCATGTGGCTCCCCTATGGGATGAAGAACTGGAGGCAATTCATGTCAGCTAACAGATAGATCCAGACTTTTCCACAGCTGAGCCACCAGAAGAATTACTGAAACCCAAGTGGTCATCCCTAACACATATACATGTGAGCAACTCTTAATTGACTCGTCAAGTTGCATGTGTATGTGTGTCTGTGTGTGTTTGTGTATCTGTGCCTGCTATTTAAAGAAAAGGTCATTGATGTAAGAGGGGTGGGGAAACTGTAGAAAATATGTGAATACAGTATACATTAGGAAATACTCAAGTTATAAATTTAAACAATATATAAGCATTTTTCAAATGTTAAGGAGAAGGAAGCTTTACTCTTCAGAGTAAGAGACACACAGAGACAGGTAAAGAGACACAGAGAGAGAGACAGAATGACAGAGACAAAAGGAGAATTTTAAATCCATAAACCTAACTTAATCCTGCAGTACATTTCAATTATCTGGACATAAAAGTTGAGAGTTTATTTTAGTTTACAACAGCTTATGAGTTCATTGGGAAAACTATAGAAGAGGATGGAAAAATCATTCAATTGTTAAAAGTACTTGTTTTTTGTTACAAGGGACCTAGGTTAGATTCCCAGAACTCAACTGAGGCTCATGATCATCCAGTTTCAGGGCATTCAACACCCTCTTCTTACTTCCATAGGCAGCAAGCACACACATGGTACACAGACATGCATACAGTCAAAATACTCACTCATACCTAAAGCAAAATCAACAAATCTATTTTTAAATAAGTTATCAAGTAAGTTGGAATACATTCATCTTCCACTCAACATATGTACCAAATCAATGCTTTTCTGCAATATTTGACTTTTATTTTGACAAACACAATTATAATGGTATACTAATATATTATTTATTATTTAATAGCAATTAACTAATGTAATTACAATTAATTAACTAATTAATCAAATAACTAGAAAGTAAAATATTCATAGATGTTAAGAATAATTGAATGCTTCCAATGAGCATTAATATTTCAGACACAACATGACTTATATTAATTGAAAAACATGTACATTTGATGCTGAATAACTCACTATATGTCTTACCAATCTCCAATGTTTCTGATTATTTTCACTAACCTGCATACTATACTATATTATAAAGTATTTAAATATATCAAAATATTTAAAGCTCATTTTTATATCTACAGATAAATAATCCCTAAACAATTAATTTTATGTAAAGTTCCCAATTCCCTAGTAACTTTAACTAATTTCTGGCATTGTCTCTTTTCTGTAATTTCCTAACATTAGGCGATAGTTTCTAAAGTTCTGTTTCAGTGGAAATTTAATGAAGCAATTTGATTATATGTCTGAATGAAGAATTTACTTCACTTAATACAGAAAATAGAAAAGAAGTCTCAACAGAAACCATGGTTATTTGGGGATTAATTCAGTGAGCAAATGATGCTAGTTTAGAGAGTAGAGAAATGAAGATTGAAAGAAGGCTTAAATGTTGGCATTGCAGGTATGTGGGTGGGAATAGACCTGACTCACTCTGTTTGAAATTGGCTTGACTGTGAGCACATTCCTTAGCAGTACCTCTGAATTTGCAGGAGAAAATGATAACATTAGGGTTAGATTCAATTCTAATGCCCATCTATTTCTAGATGTGCAATCTATGAGATAGTCACAATTACTCCGTCTTCAATCTTATATTTTCAAAGCAAATTTTATGCAACCTTGATGCTTTCGTGAAGGAAGACAAAATAGTTTAGATAATACTCAATGGTTATTAATAATAGTTTGCTAGGTTACTTGCACCACACATATTTATGTATATATACATACACACAGAGACACACATAGTTAGACACATAACTATTTAACTGATAGATACACATAAATAATTAACTGATTCTTATCACATATATTACATAAATAAATAAAGATTTATATATAAATATAGGTATCTAAGGAACTAAAATATCTTCATTTGAATAGTTTTTGGGCTGACCACCTATATTTGGTGTCTTTCCCTGGGAAAAAGTGCTTCCTCCTCCTCACGAGCAGCTGACTACCTAGAGCTCTTCATTTTAATCCTCCTGTGTGTGCTTGTCAATTAGAATGATCTTTGTATTTCTTGTGAAAATAATGCTGTTGAGCATTCATGGAAGCAATATTCCTATCCTGTCCATGAAATACTATCTCAGAAGTCATTCCATTTATTAGACTCTTACAATCTTTCTGCCCCTTTTCTGAGATTTTTTCCTTTGGCCTTGGGTGTACAGGACATGTTACAGATGTGGCATTTGGGGTAGGAAAGCCACAGCCACTTTTTATCAGCATTTTGACCAGTTGTGGATCTCTCCAACAAACTCAATTTTCTGTAAAAGGATAATTTGTTGATGAGATGCTAGAGCTGCACCCATCTTTGGGTATGAAGCTGAGTATTTATAAAGCATTTGGAAATTATATTTTGTTAGTAATATGGTACTTCTAGATCCTCCTGTGACACCATGGCCTCTTCAACGTGTATTTTGGCTAGAGTAAAATCCATCCAATTCCACCAAGCTTTAGGTATGAGTAGGAAGCCATTGTTATCTCTAAGATAAAATGATATTATTTCACCTTTGGGAATAAGATTGCATTCTTAATGTTAGAATATTCAAAACTATATATATATATTCTTGTGTAACATATTAGAGTGAACAAAATTATTTTATTAACCAGTAATTACATTATTAGAATAAAGATAGTAAATGAATTATTAGTCTGAAAGTCTTCAGAATGGGAACATAAAATGTATTATGAAAAAAAAAACTGTGATTATTAGCAGAACATGCCAAGAAAGAAAAAAATGACAACAGAAATTTAAAAGAAGAAGAAAAAGAACTAAAATCTACCATTGACTAATGAAAAATATGTAATTACAGGGATTATGAGCAATTTGGGATTTATGGGTTATAAGATAATTGTTATTTCCTTGTTCATATCCACCAATGCCATTTGTTAGAAAACTTAAAGTAAAATAATTCTAACACTAAAACCATATTTCAAACTTGATTTTGAGAATTTTGGAATGACTGTAACCATTATTTAAATATAATGAGCATTTAAGCACTGTAGTTGTTCATTTAAAGCTTGATCCTTAAAGAACATTAGCCTGAAAATTTATATTTAAAGGTTAAGTGATTCTAAGTATTAATCTAAAACCTTCTCTCTCATGTTTATAATGTTATACTATCAAAAATACATCAATTTCCTGATTTTTCATAAAAAAATGAAATATAAAATTAAGAAATGGTAACAGGTTGGAAAGACAGTTTAGAATTTAAGAGCAGTGACTGCTTTTCCATGGGATCCCAGTTTTAGACACAGGGTCCATGTGGCAACACAACCATCTGCAACTGTAGTCAAAGGGTCAGGAACCTGTTTATGACTTCAGTGAGTACCTGGTACATACTCGGTGCACAGACCTATGTGCAGGCAAAACAACCATATATGTGGAAATAAATTTCTTAAATATTAAAAGAGGAAACTGAGGGAATAGTAAATAAGTAGAGGATCAATTTTCATGTTTACCTGTCAGGGGAGATACCATGATCACAAAGCGGTTTTACAGGACAAGGTGCATGCATTGCACTGCAGATTTGTTCATCTTTGCAATTTCTCCATATGCACAGAACTCATCTACATAATTTGGGTAGTGGGAGACTTCAATTTGCACTTCTCCCTACAGACAAATAAAGGAATATCAATTTTCCAGTAACTATGATTTAAACTAGGATATAGTTTTAGAATAATTATTAAAAATATAAATGATCATATGATTGACAAAAACAAAAACACAAAATTGAAAAACAAATGGATTGTTTTAGGCAACATGAAACAAATATTTATCTTTTTCTTAGTTTGGGTTACTATTGCTATGATTAAGCAACATTAGAAAAAAACAAGGAGGAAAGGGTTTATTGGACTTGTGCTTCTACCTCTATAGTCCATCACTGAAGGAAGTTAGGGTAGCAGCTCAAGCAAGGCAAGAACCTGGATGCAGGAGCTGATGCAGAGGCCATGGAGGGTGAGGCTTGCTGCTTGTACCCATGACTTGCTTAGGCTCTTTTCTTATAGAACCCAGGAGCCCAGCCCGAGGATGGTACCACCCACAATGAGCTGGACCCTTCACAATCAATCACTAATTCAGAAAATGTACTAAAGCTAGAACTTATGGAATCATTTTCTCAAATGAGATTCCCTCCTTTCAGCTAACTCTAGCTGTGGTTTTCTTCCTCCTTGAGGATCATTGGATACAGGTCCATGAGACAAGAGGAAACAGAAGTGGCAAGCAGCGTTCTGAAGTCTGTGAGCATCAAGGAGATAGTCTTCCAGGAGTCAGCTTAAGTGAGACAGCTCAACTTTATTTCAGGATGAGGGGGATATATAGGATGAGGACAGCAGCTGGGGCATCAACTAATTTGAGTTTGACAGCATCCTTCTATCCTTCAGCTGGAGCATAATATCAAGTTACCATGTGGATGGCGGATGGCAGAGGGGGACATTTGCAGTGAACTGTGTCAAAGGTCACACTTAAGAGGTAAGTCAGGCATCTGAGCTCAGGGACAACTTCCAAATAAGGTTAGAGAGAGAATCCTGCTGCAAAGGGAATCCTGTATATTATGCTGAGGTCAGAGAGCTATCCAGAATTGGTAAATTGCAGCCTTAAGCAGCAAGGTCTTCCAATACCTCCCCATACTGTTTTATTTTATAATGGAGAGAGTCATAGAGAGATCCAATCGAACTTTAAAGGATATGCTAAATAAACAGCAGCTGGTAACAATGACTCCTAGAAATAGACTGCATAGTGCTTTATTAACCTTGAATTTTCTCAATGCTAACGAGAAAGGAACAACAGCTGCGGAGAGACATTGGACGACAGACAAAACTGAGCTAAACCAACCAGTTTATTTCAAGAATGTGCTGACCTCAGAATGGAAACCTGGATATGTTCTACGTTGGGGAAGGGGTTTTGCCTTTGTTTCTGCATGAGAAGAAAAGCTATGTATACCAACAAAATTAATAAAAATTCGATTCGAACAGGAAAAACCCCTTGATGAAGAGAAGTAAAAGATCATCCACCAATGTGACATCTCTACAAGTTATAAGAAAAATTTAACAATCAATGGGTGGGGTAGGGTTCTGTTTTTGTCTTTCCAGGATAATGGAAATACCTATCTTCCCAAACTCATAAGGCCTTGGATATCCAGATGTTTACAGCAGAAAGGAAGAATCTATTGGTACCAATCTACACATGGTAAAATCTCACTGTCTAACATCTTTCTCTCTATCAATCTAGAAAAGTTG